ATATATATATATATATATATATATATATATATATATATATATATATATATGTGAATATATATATATGTGAATATATATACATATATATATATATATATATATATATATATATATATATATATATATATATATATATATGAATATATATATATATATATATATATATATATATATATATATATATATATATATATATATATATATATATATATATATGAATATATATATATATATATATATATATATATATATATATATATATATATATATATATATTTACTATGTATACTATACATACTATATTTAATATAGTTTTTTTTTTGTTGTTGAGCTGCTAGAAATAAGGTTTACCTTCAAAATCTTTTAGTGAACTGATCAAAATTTCTCTAAAATCAATCAGAAACAACAAAAAAAAACTATAGCAGATGTGTTTATTTTATATAGAATTTTACTATTCTGCATGACTGTATTTACTATTCTGCATGAATTTTATAAACAAATAAATTTAATAATGTATTCTAACAATTAGAATATAATAAATAGACTAATTATAGTTGTAACTTTTAGGGTAATCTTTATAAATTCATTTTTAAACTTATTTTTTTTAATGTTCACTTGTAGATAACCTAAATATTTTATTTAACAAGTTATTGTAATTAAATAATAATAAAAATGTAAATTATTATAAATAGTTTCTAAAACAATCAGAAATTCATTAATCTTATCATAAAAAAGCACTAGTGCTTAAGTAGAGCAATTTTAAAATTTACTGTTTTTAACTTAAAAATAGTATATTAGTAAATAGTAATTTTTAACTTAAAATTTAAGTTACTTATTTTAACATGTGAATTTTATCCCTGGCTTCGAAATGATCCATTTTATATATAACATATTATGCGAGTACACTTACATAAACTTAAAATCATTCAAAATTGAACTTAAAATGTACAAGTCTTGTGTCAAGAATCCTACTAAACATAATCTCGTTCTGATTTAATCTCTAAGCAATCCAGGGACCAAACAAAGCTCATGTAATTTTAAAATTAAAAAGATCAGAATAATTTAGAATAAAATGCCTGTTGAACTTTCTAAGCCCTGCAGGTAAAACTGCAGAACTTCTTTTTGGAGATAAATGTGTACAAAAAAAGGCGCTACTGCAGTTTCTCCCCCCCCCCCCCCCCTATTTTCTTATTGTTGATA